CTTGTTTTTCTTTGAGTTTTCGATTCCAGATTTGGTTTCCTTGCTGGCCCAGATTCAAGTTCTTCATCTGATGCTGTTGAGTAATCCTGTGTCAAGTCATCTCCTTTTTGTACTGAAGCCCCACTCTTCTCCTTCATTTTTTTTGGCTTTCCTCCATTCAATTTCCTTCCATATCGTTCCATAAAATCTTTAACTTTAAGGGTTGAGTAAATCTTCAATCTCTGTCCTTCAAAAGTGAAAAGGATCCCTTCCGGAACCAGCCATTGAAAAGAAATTGAATTCACTGTAAGTTTAGTAGTTAGGACTGTATACTCCTAACTTTTCTGTCTCCTCTTCCACAGGATTTCCTTCAAAATTCTAATCTCTTTGTCTTTAATTTTAAATACCATATTGTGGGTTACTCTCAAGGTATGGTCTCTAACTGCACGCTTTGTAAATTTTACATGAACTTCCCTTGGCAGGTTATTATTTTTTTTTACATACATTGAATTGACTCTATAAATCAGATCAATTTCTCTTGCAGTCTCCTCAAATTACTCTTCCAAAAATTCTGCCAAGGCTTCTGCAGCTACTGTTGTCACGTCTTCTCCTTTTTGCTCAGGAACATTCTAGAATCTCAACGTATATGCAGCTCTCTCCATTTCAAGCTTAACTAGAGAGTCCCAAGTAGCTTTTTGTTGACTATTTACCTTGTCTAACCTTTGTGTTGCCGTTTCAGCTTTTGTATCCGCTCTCTTAATTTGCTGGGCCATTTCTTGTTTCTCACGCTTACTTTAATAACATAAGAACATAAGAGACGCCAGTGTTGGATCAGGCCAAAGGCCTATCCAGTCCAACACTCTGTGTCACACAGTGGCGAGAAATACCAGGTGCCATCAGGAGGTCCACCAGTGGTGCTAGTTGAGTTTGAAAATAATTCATTTTCCCTTTCAATTCCGAGACTTCTGTGTTCAAATTTTTAATTTGCTCTGTCACTTGAGCCAAAGCATTCTGTATTTGTTCCGTACCTGACTGAAACATAGATTGCAAATTGTTTTGTAAGTCTGTCAATGCTTCTGGCGCTAACATACTTCCTATTGCTTTGGATTGTGTTGGCGATGAAACAGCAGAGGTTGGGGGAGTATATTTTTCCACTTGTTTACTCATCTCATCAAAAGTAGAAATCAATTTAAGTGCCCAAATATTTGTTACACCAGATTAATAATTTCTATTTCAGTATTCAAAATAAGAAGTGGAAGTTAACCAACCATAATCACACAACATTTATTAGTTCAAAATATATTGATTAATAAGAATACCCCTATCAAAATAATAGACATGACATTCAGTAAATATGTATCATTTAGTAAATATGTACCAAATCTATACAACGTTACAGAGAACTAGCAAATAGCAATAAAGGACTCTAGGGAAGTTCTGTAATTTTCAAAGTTTTCAGGAATGTGGAAAATCAAGGGGTAAGCAAAAGCACATGCAGTTTCTAGGCAATGGCTCCCTTTGACTCCTCTTTGTAGCCTAAACAGGATGGTGTGATAAGTAAACACCACAGACCTTGCAGAAGCAGGAAGAAGGCTTCTTTTAAAGTATTTATAATCCAAACTAATACATTTCCATTAAAGATAGAACAAGAAAATAAGAGGACTATTAGGAGTATGTTCAACCATCCAGCAAAATTAATTGTAATCCAACAAAGTAAATAACGTAAGAGATCTTCAAAACTAAGGAGAGGTGCTTGTTCCCAATAGAATGTATGTAAGGCGGTGTTTAAAATGTCCAAGTACAAATCCTCCTTCAGTTAGCTCTACTGTTCTGAGTGTCTTATTAATTAAAAAAATGCCCCAGTTGTAATAGCTCTGTCTCTGCACTCAGAATTCATGTGAGAGCTGCTCTTGTAGGAGGGGGGTAATCTGCCAAACTACCCCCTCCCCCTCCAAATTCTTTTGAGCAATACTGCTGGGACCTCAATTTGAGAAAGGTCAAAAGATACAGTCTTTGGCAATAACTCTCAGTTCAAAACAGAGAACTTGTAGACAGAATAAAGTATCAAGTCTTGCTGTTAATTCCGGAGCATGCAACTTGTAGCCATAAATTATGGCGTCCACTCCTGCAGGAGCAAAGGGTTCTCTTTAGAGCGCTCAACTCTCAGCTGCTACCGAGAGGAGCGTTCCGAAAAGGCACCCCCAAGCTTCAGGTATCCCCTACGAGGGTCCCTTTAAGGTCTGGCAGTTTTCAGATCCCCCAGAATGGGGCGGCTCAGCATGTCCGGAAGAGCTCTCCTGAGACACTGCTGAACACACCATGGCAAACCGGAAGCTCCAGCCAGGGGAGTTCTTGACTTCAGTCGACTTGGCCGAGGCATACCTCCACGTTCCCATCTTCCAGGGTCACAGATGATTTCTCCAGTTCTGCGTGCAGGGTTACCATTGGCAGTTCAGCGCCCTGCCCTTCAGTCTTTCAACCGCCCCAAGGGTGTTTTCCAAAATCCTCATACACCGTATTGTTTTGGTGCAGGAGCAGGGCATAAATGTTCGTCTGTATCTAGACAACCTCTTGTTTCACTCCAGCTCGGCAGACAAGTCATGAAGGGTCACAGAAGACACCATTCAGTGTTTGGGTTCTCACGGGTTCCTGGTGAATATTCAAAAGAGTTGTCATAACTCCCTCTCAATTGATCAAATGCTTAGGAGTGATTCTGGACACAACTCAGAACCGCATAGTCCTTCCAAAGCCCAAGGCGGAGAAGATTCGAGCCCTTTCTCAACAGATCATCAAAGGCAAATAGTCTTCGCTGATGACATTAGCCAAGCTACCCATCTGGCACCCAGACCCAGGATGACTCTGTTTGACCGCCTGATGATTGAGCGGGAAAAGTTCCTTAGGCTAGGCTACTCTGAAAAAGTAACCAACACTATGCTGGTCTCCAGAAGGCTGTCTATCAACCGAATTTATAATACTACTTGGAAGGCATTTGTAAGGTGGGCCAGAAGAAAGGGTTTAGATCCATTGAAACCATGTGTAAGGAGTGTCCTGACCTTTCTACAGGAAGGACATGATGCTGGCTTGAAGGCATCTACTCTCAGACGCCAGGTGGTGACCCTAACTACGGTCCTTCTTACATTCAGTGGATGGGGACTCTCCAGACAGCCTCATGTTTGTCGGTTCCTGAAAGGTGCAGCTCTTCAAGACCCTTCTACTTCTCACAGATTCCCCGCGTGGAGGCTGAATGTGGTACTCAGTGTCTTGACCGGACCTCTTTTTGAGCCTTTCAAGGAAATTCCCCTGAAGTGGCTAAGGATGAAGACCTTATTTATGGTTGCAGTGACTTCATCCAGGTGGGTGTTAGAATTCGGGGCCCTGTCCGCTAACCCAAGGCTCTCCGTAGTACTTACTGTGAATCCCACCTTCCAGCCCAAGGTGAATTCTCGCTTCCACAGATCACAGAAGCTCTGCCTGCTGTCTTTTTGCCCGAATCTGATTCATCCTATGGAACAGATCTGGCACTCCCTGGATATGTGGCGTGCCCTAAAGACATTTCTTCATCGTACTAGTGGTTTCCAGAAGTCATTGTTCATCTCCATCTCCCCTCCTAACAAGGGATGTAAGATGTCTAAGGCTACCATTAGTTCTACTCTAAAGACTTGTATTGTGGAAGCCTACAGGGCCCGAAAGCTGGTGCCTCCTCCAGGGATCACTGCTCACTCAATTCGACGTGCAACCACTAACACTGCCTTAGCAAGTCATGCCACAGTGGATGAAATATGTAAAGTAGCCACATGGTCATCTGTCTCTGCATTTATTAAACAGTACACGATAAATCTATATGACTCAGTTGATGCAGCCTTCAGTTGAAGGGTTCTGCAGCATGTTCTGTCTGACAAGGATGATGACCCACTCAATAGATGAGGACACTGCTATGGGAGGTCCCATCAAGATGTCCTCCCTTCAGAGGGAGAAAGGGCCATTGGGTACTTACCGAGAAGGGTCCTTCTCCTCTGAGATAAGGAGGACATCTTGGCCTTCCTGTGTCATCATTATTCTGTCTTCATCTGCTGCTTTTTCTGTTCTCAGCTGTATTCTTCCTTCCTGTCTCTGAATTTCTCTCATTCTTAATTGCAGTTATTTGCTGTTCATCTGTTTTAGGGCTTAGTTGTCTGTGATTTACAGTTATCTACGGCTTCTGTGAGTTCCAGTAGTGAGTGGATGATCATGTCCCACCGAGAGGAGAGGAAGTGGAAAGTTTTGGTTCCTGCCTCCCTACAGATAGGGTAGGAAACACCCATCAAGTTGTCCTCCTTATCTCAGGGAGAAGGACCCTTCTTGGTAAGTACCCAATGGCCCTTTTGGGGGGGTCATTTTTCTGCAAACCAGGGGGTTTCCCAGGTCTGCAGAAGAATTCCTCCTATCTGAACCTGCCCCCATTCTCTGGGTCTATTGATCTGCATGAGGGACAGGTTAGCTATTCTGTGGCTTGTATTAGTATAGTCTCCTGTGCTGGCACAGGTGACTGATCTAGCTACTTAACCAGACTTGTGAAAGGGGCTTGATGTAATGTAGAACTTCTTTCTTCTTCCCAGCACAAAACACAATGTTATGGGGTGAGCTGAAGATTTTTAGTATGAATAGTGGAATAGAAAATCTATCTGGCTTTGTGAAGGTTCTTTCCTGTGTGGTGTGTTTTTTGTGTTTAAAAGTCAGAATTGAGATGGCTTCTCCTGTTGCTTGAGAGAATTAGTGTTAGACTAGCAGACACAGTGTCTTGCTGTAGGCATGATGCTTCCTATCCCTTCTGCTAAAGGTTACTTTAAGGAAGAGAATCCCACCATCAGTGGCCGGAGGTCAAGGAGCTAGGGTGCATGAATAGAGAATGTGTCATCCACTCTGTAGCTGTTTGAAAGTCTGCAGTATATTGATGGGCTAGTGTGCATTTGAAACAGATGCATAAAGTTTTGTGAAGGAGACTTTAAAGTGTGATTTCTCATGTAGTGTGTTTCTGTTTGCAGAATGCCAGAGCCAGACTTCAGTGTGAGTGATGTACGACTATATGTAGGTAATTATGTATTCCCATTTTAGGTTCCTCATGGTATGGACTATATGTAAAAAATGCACAGCATACCAGCTAGAATCAGGCATTGAACTGAGTTTTCATTAGACTTCTGAATTAAATGCAAGCATCTACATTGTGGAAACACAGTTGAAAATGTGTTGGTATTAAGGGCCAAAGATTCCTAAACTGAAGATTAATTTGGTTGGGGGTCCTGCATCCTGTCTCCCTTATGTCCCTCTCCTACTTTGTCACCCTTCCTGCATTTACGCAAATGCAAAATTTGCTTTTTCCCCACGTATACCATCATAAAAAAGAAGGGGACATCTTAAACTCACACATTACAGTTATATCCAGTGATAAAAATATCTTGGGGTATAACGTTTTTGGGGGTGTTCCTTTCAAGTAAATATGATATTTATCCCAATAGGGAGTCGGAGGATGGTGGATGTCATGGATGTGAATACACAGAGAGACATTGAGATGACAATGGCTCAGTGGGCACGCTATTATGAAACTCCAGAGGAGGAGCGGGAGAAGCTGTATAATGTTATCAGCCTGGAGTTCAGTCATACCCGGCTTGAGAACCTGGTACAGAGACCAACAACGGTCAGTGGATCCTCTTTCTTCCTCTGGCAATATCACTTTGCACTTTCCATGTCACTCAGATAAAAACTGTATACTTTCATCTTTCGGCGCACCTTCAGCAACTCCCATTTCTTCACAATTGCACAGAGATGACCGTAGCTAGTCAGCTTATTAAGAACATCAGAAAAGCATACTGGATCAGGCCAGTGGTTCATCTATTCCAGGGTACTGTTTCACACAGTGGCCCGTCAGTTTCCTCGGGGGGCCAAACAGTCAGGGCCTCCCCTGCGGCTCCCTCCCAGCACTGGCATTCAGAAGTTTACTGCTGCTGTACTTAGAGGCTTCTTTCAGTCACCCTGGCTAGTAGCCATTTTTAATTAGAAATATCAAACCATAAATGAGTGAACAATCAAATATTTCCCTGGTGATCATCTATATACTATTAGCAATTTGTAGCCCCCATCTGCAGATATCTAAATCCACAGATAAATAGATTTTTCAGGAAATTTGAGGGACTAACCGGGTTTTCAGAAAATTTTGAAATGTTCCAAAAGATACATAGGGGGTTTAAATCCTCCCCAAAGTAAAGTAGCGTTCTTTGCGCGAGCTCAGAGAATGCTCTTTCCTCCCTTGAGCAGGGTGGTTCATGAGTGCAGTGGATTTCAGCAGCTGCGCCAGGCCCAGTGTCGGAAGAGGAAGCCAGAGGGCTGTGGTGGGCTGCACACTCGTGCACGGAGTGGATCCCGTCTCTTCCTTTCTTGCCGGGCCTGCTGTGGTTCCTGGGCCCTCCTGCAACCACCAGCGGGTCCTCCGGGGCTGCTTTGCCATCCTCGGGCCTGCTGTGCTGGGCATCAGTGAAGCCGCTTGGGAGCTGTGGCGGCCCCCCCGGACAGCTGCAGGAGAGCCCAGGAGCCGTAGTGGGCCCAGTAGCAGCAGCAGAACAGCCTGGGAGTTGCAGCAGGCCCATTGCGGGTGCAGGAGAGCCCGGGAGTCACAGCGGGCCCGGCAAGAAAGTCTCTCGCAGGCCCTCTTCAGTATCTATCCAGTTCTAAGAAGAAGATAGACAAAAAAGAGAAAGTTCTATTAATGCAATTAACATACCTCAGAATTGCGATTTGAGTCACTACTTTTGGTTTGACTCTCCCAATAAATACTGTAACCAAAAACACTAAACTCCAAAAGTGGGCTGCACCGCAAAGGCTCCCAAATCCTATAGAGTAAGGATACAAAAGTTCCACCAATAAGAATTCACGAATAATAACTCTATAGAAAACAGTACAACACTGTAATCAAATACAAAGTCAGTACAAATGAACTCACAAAATTTACAAAAGCACAGTTGCCAAATGACCAAATAGGATGTAATTAAGCAAAATCAAACTAACCAATAGCTGAGACATCCTATAAAATTAGAAACAATAACATCCAAAGATTACAATAACAGCGAGGAACAGTTACATTCAGAGATAACAGTAACAGTGATACAATGTCCTGCCATTCTTTCTGCTCGCTGCGTCATTGTTTACAGTTAGCGAAAAGTTTTAAGAAGTCTCTGAAGGTCTGGCAATTAAGCACTTTCTTGCTAATCCGCACCACACTCAGTCAAAATCCGCTCCTTTCAAGCTGCCCTCTCGGTCCCCGCTTTTAACTCAGTCTTTTCGGGATCGGATTCCCTCCCCACCACCACTTGTTTGGGGCTTTGGGGCGGCTTTGCTATCAGCGTTTAGGTGGTTGTTCGCTAAGTCTTGGGTTCACTTCCATTTTTACTTGCGTTTGTTTAGAGTGTAGAGAAGATTGTTTCTTTCGGCTCACTTCTGCGCTCGGGTCGGTATGCACCTCTAGATGCCATTGCTGGCTCCATGCCGCAAGGCCCTATGGGGCAAAAGGAGCCTCTATCCCTTACCTTCCGCCTCGGGAGAGGCACCTCATGCACCCCAGGCTGCGCCCCCCCTTTAAGGGGTGGCGGGGGGCCAAGATCAACTCGGACCCCTCCCCATTGGCACGTTTGCGGGCTGCTCACATCAGAGCTGTGATGGACCGCACTTGCCTGCAAGTCACCAGAAACCGGAAGTCAATGAAGTGGCATTTATGATGGATAGCATGGGAAGACTGATGTGTACACATTCTATAGCTTTATATAAGGGTTTTACAATACTGTCCATTTTATATTCAGTCCCTTTCCTAATAATTCATAGCATGGAGTTTGCCATCTTCACCACTGCCATACACTGGATTAAGATTTTCATCAAGCTTTCCACTACAGCTTCAAGATGTTTCAGTCTGTCTCAGCCAGTTCAGACTCATCAGCATATATGTAAAGTTAGGATTTTTTTTTGTTCCAATATGCATCACCCTACACTTATCCACATTGAACTTCATTTAACATGTTGTTTCCCACTCCCCCAATTTAGAGAGATCTTCCTGTAGCTCTTTGCAATCTGCTGTGGTTTTCACTATCCTGAATAATTTGGTATCATCTTCACACTTGGCTACAGTAGGCTGAGTCCCAATTCCAAATAATTTATGAACAAATTAAATAGCATTAGTCCCAGTAACAATCTTTGTGGGACCCCACTGCTCTCTTCCGCCCATGGCAAGAACTGTCCATTTATTCCCACTGTTTAACCAGTTTTTAATCCATGAGGACCCATCTTCTTCTGAGAGCCAGTTTGGTGTCGTGGTTAAGTGCGCGGACTCTAATCTGGGAGAACCAGGTTTGATTCCCCACTCCTCCACTTGCACCTGCTGGATGACCTTGGACAAGCCACAGTTCTGGCACAGCTGTTCTTGAAAAAGAGCAGTTTCTGTCAGAGCTCTCTCCGCCCCACCTACCTCACAGGGTGTCTGTTGCGGGGAGGGGAAGGGAAAGGAAGAAGAAGAAGAGAAGAAGAGATTGGATTTATACCCCGCCCTTCACTACCCAAAGGTGTCTCAGAGCGGCTTACAAACTCCTTTCCCTTCCCCTCCCCTCCCCACAACAGGCACCCTGTGAGGTAGGTGGGGCTGAGAGAGCTCTTGACAGAAACTGCTATTTTTCAAGAACAGGTCTTATCAGAACTACGGCTTGCCCAAGGTCATCCAGCCAGGTGCAAGTGGAGGAGTGGGGAATCAAACCCGATTCTCCCAGATTAGAGTCCATGCACTTAACCACGACACCAAACTGGCAGGAGTTTGTAAGCCGCTCTGAGATTCCTTTGGGTAGTGAAGGGCAGGGTATAAATCCAATCTCTTCTTCTTCTTATCCCATGACAAGCTTACTCAGAAATCTTTGAGGCATCTTTTCAAAAGCCTTTGGGAAGTCCAAGTATAGATGTCTACGAGCTTGCTGTTATCTACGGTATATGCTTTGGCAGCCTTTTCAAAGAACTCAGAGGGACTGGTGAAGCAGGACTTACCTTTGCAGAAGGGTAATGGAGGGACAGCAACTTGACTTCTTCATTGACTACAGCAAAGCACAGTTGATCATCTGGCCATTGCAGAGGGTTGGATCCTGTGATCTTTTAGCAGAAGGTGCTGAGGGTATGCTTTATGGTATTCATTGAGTTAATTTTTGAGACATTCTGTGAGACGTTACATTCATATTTATATGGAATGCTTAGGTAATTGCAGCAATACTAAATTTGTATTTAAAAACTGGAAGTAAAGGGACCCTAGTTTCATTCTAACCACAGAATGTACTCCTCAAAATATAATCCTTTATCTATATTTCATTGAACTGCTTTTTTACTGCTGAGGATTGAGTTCTGTGGCTTCAAAGTCATAACTAATGCTTGAGCTTCTGCAATCTGTGTTTTATGTCTAAGCTTTGCTATTATATCTGTATGGTTACAGGTGGATTTGATTGATTGGGTTGACAACATGTGGCCAAGGCATCTTAAAGAAAGCCAGACAGAATCAACGAATGCCATTCTGGATATGCAGTATCCCAAAGTGCAGAAGTAAGTGACTTCGGATTCTGTAGTTACAGCCGTCCACAGAAATTATACCTCAGGAAGAATGCTGTCCTGTAGCTGCCTCTGTGTATTGCAAAAATACTCTGTTTTTCAATACTGCATGCTTTGGGCACCCCCATGTGGTGCTTGAAACAGTGACATTAGCACTGAACAGGAAGTACAACAGGGAGATTCTTAGAATAGCTACTTCCTGTTGTAGAGATGTAGTCTCCTAATATTGCTGTATTACTGTAGTGGTTCCTTTGCCAGTTTTACTGGTCTTGATGTCCCATCTAGACCACTAGCAATTTGTAGATGTCAGCACACTAAATATATAGATTTTACATTGCACATGATTACAGCTCTGATTCAAAGTGGTAGCCACCCACAGTTCTGTCTGCAAGCACATATACCAGGCATTTATCTCATGTGCACAGAAATGAAAAAGTTATTGGACTTGAATTACAGCGTCATGTTTTTCATTTCAGATACTGTCTGATGAGTGTCAGGGGCTGCTATACTGACTTCCATGTGGACTTTGGTGGCACTTCTGTATGGTATCATATTCACAGAGGGGGAAAGGTACAGTAGCATCTCAGTGTTGCTCTGTTTTGTGGAAGAGATTATGGAGAAAGGAAAAAAATTATATGCATGGGTGTTCAGTATGTTTGGGTATTATTATCTGGGTACTTCTCATACTTTGTCCACAAACCAGTAACTTTCTGAGTTAGCCCAGCTAGTAATTTTTCCTGTTTGTCTTCATTGTGATCATTTACTTTCTAGCCCTGTGAATCATAAGGTTACTTCTACTTTCTTCAGAGCTTCTTCACTCTGAGCATATGAAAGAAGGAAGGGCAAAAAGCAGTATGTACCAGGTTCTGGTATGCTCTGAGCACTCTGCCTGTTGAGGAGCTTTTATATTGTTACTCTTTATTTCATCAAATTACCGGGGGAGCAATATGCAGCTGGCCTTTACCTATCCTACTACAGAACCATGGAATCTTGTTCTGCAAATAGGGTTCCCTATAGAGCTGCGGTGGCTCAAGTGGTTAAGATGCTGAACTGCAGGCTGTGGAAGGTCAGTAGTTCAGCAGTTCGAGACCCGGGTGCCTCATGATGGAGTGAGCTCCCGTCTCTAGTTCTAGCTCCTGCCAACCTAGCAGTTCGAAAGCAAGTAGATAAATAGGTACCACTTCGGTGGGAAGGTAGCAGCGTTCCGTGCGCGTTGGTGTTTAGTCATGCCGGCCACATGACCACGGAAATGTCTTCGGACAGCGCTGGCTCTTCGGCTTTGAAACGGAGATGAGCACCGCAACCCTAGAGTCAGATTCGACTGGCTTTCGAGCAAGGGAACCTTTACCTTTATTATAGAGTGTATATTTAATAGAACATGTGCAATAGAAAAATTAATGTAATAGTGAAATATGTGTTTGATCAGTGTTGGTTCCAAATCTCCAACAGGAATAAATAACTCAGTGACATGGTTTTAAATAGGACAAAGGGCAAGAGAGGTCAGCATGCCTAGTGATCTGCTTTAAACCTGAAGTTTTGTTATGGGTTGAAGGAAGAGGGAGACTCCAGGGCTGCTTGGGTGTGAGCTTTCAAGTCCCCCAGTCTTGTCAGTCTTACTTTCCTACTACTGTTTTGGGATTGGGGTTTCAGAATTTTTTTGTAGTTGGATATATTACAAGTCTGAACTTGGGTAGCCGGGTTGGTCTGAAGCAGCAGAACAAAGTTTGAGTCCAGACTGGGCACCTTTAAGACCCAGGAAATTTAATTCTGGGTGTAGAAGCTTCCGTGTGCAAAGCACACTTCCTCAGGTACAGAAACTGAGAAACCTGTGGGAGAACATTTCAACCACACCCGGGGCACTCAGTGGGGGGACCTCAGAGGGTGTCTATATGCCCATTTGCTGCTATTTGCAGTCTTACCAAATGTGTTATTTCAATCTTAGCTATACTTATTGCTCAGTTATTTATTTATTTCGATTTATATCCCGCCCTTCCTGCAAGTGGGCTCAGGGCGGTTCACAACCATAAATTAGTCATTAAACACTTAAAGGATAAATATCAGAACAATAAAAACATTTAGAACAATTAAAAGGTGGGCATTGCAACCGATTACATGTTCAGTAGGACCTGCGGTGGCTCAAGTGGTTAAGACGCTGAACTGCAGGCTGTGGAAGGTCAGTAGTTCAGCAGTTCGAGGCCCGAGTGCCGCATGACGGAGTGAGCTCCCGTCTCTAGTTCCAGCTCCTGCCAACCTAGCAGTTCAAAAACAAGAAATTGCAAGTAGATAAATAGGTACCACTTTGGTGGGAAGGTAACAGCGTTCTGTGCGCCTTGGTGTTTAGTCATGCCGGCCACATGACCACGGAAACGTCTTCGGACAGCGCTGGCTCTTCGGCTTTGAAACGGAGATGAGCACCGCAGCCCTAGAGTCGGATTCGACTGACTACATGTTCAGTAGTCCTAATTAGCCCATCCTGGCAGCTAACCCTCCCTACCTATATGTAACGTTTGACGAAATCTGTTTCAGTGTCTCTGAGACGGAGTTAAGTGCATCTGCACGTGCTCTAAGTGCATCTACAGTTCTCGCTTAGACCCAGAATTGAACTTTGTTACCTTGGAAGTTCCACTGGACTCACTTTGTTCTCACAGGTCTTGTATCTGTGTACTAATTCACTGCCATTCACAGATCTTACCAACCTCCTTCATCCAATCTCAGCTATAATCACCCATCTTGTGCATCTTGACTCTAACTAGCCCTTCCTGGCAACTAACCCCCACCCCACCCTCTCTCTACCTATATGTAATGGCTGAGAAAATTCTGTTTCACTGAATCTGAGGAAGTGTGCCTGCACACGAAAGCTCATACCTTGAATAAAAATTTTGTTGGTCTTAAAGGTGCCCCTGGACTCAAAGTCTGAACATTACAATTGTTGCATGCTCAAACATGTAGTTCTTGACTGTCCATGTTGTCTTTTCTCACCCCATCTTCCCCATATCAGGAATATAGTTTTGTACACATTTATTTTTTGTATACCAGAGGTGCTTGTTTCTGTGGTTTCACAAGAATAGCGAAGTAGCAGTATTTTCTTGGTTTATTGTAGATGTGGTATAGACATGGATTACCAATAGCTTAAGCTTTTCGCTCTAGAAATCTAAGGCATGGTTGAAGATTACTCCTCTGTGTGTTGTGTGTGTATATATCTATATATATATATTGCAATCTCTTTATTGGTTTTTCCAAAACAAAAAGAAACAAATAGTTACACAATACAGAATATTCCAACACTAACATCAACCTTTTAGCACAATTTCTTTAACAACATATACTCTCTTAGTTTTCTGTAAATATAGTTTGTCTAAACATACCATGATCTGGCCATAGTAAGCAAAATCGTCAGATTTATCTTTTTTCATAATATCTAAATGTGGATTTATGATATCAATCTTACTTTTCCACTAAGATTATTCCATAGAGTCACTAAAAGCAATTTTTCTTATATATTTAATTTATCCAAAATTTTAACAAATAGGAGAAATAGCCACTAAAATATCATATCAACTACCCTTTGATGTCCACGAAAAGAAAAAGAGGGGGAAAATACCAGAACACCATTCTCTAAATTTGACCTTGTATTTAGGTACTTTCATACTTCTATTTTTACTTTTTTCCCTCCCACATTATCTACTTATTAAATATTTCAGTATTAGCCTTACTAATATTTCCACTCTAAAAATATTTTATATGTTTTATAATCACAAATTAAATTCATAACTTCATTATTGGCCTTACTAATATTTCCCCTCTGAAAATAATTAAACCTATTTTATAACCACAGATTAAATTCATTAATTGCTTAAATGTAAATAACAACATCCACTCAATACCAGGAGGTTAACATAAAAACAAAAATACCAGTACACCATTCTCTAGTTGTAACCTTCTATTCAGGTAAGTTCATACTTCTACTTCTTTCCCTCCTGCACTACCTACTTATTAATTAATTCAATATTAACCTTATGGAAATTTCCCCACTGAGAATACTTTAAACATGTTTTATAGTCACATATTACAACCATTAATTACTTTTTTTTTAAACTTTTTTTTATTAAGTTTTTCACAAAGTTTTTACACCGCTTAACATTTTCTATTTCATTATATCCAACAGTACATCATAATTACTTATGTGGAATTATTTAACAACATCATTTTAATACCCAGGAAAAAATTACCAAAGCAGCATTCTCTTTTACCCTCATCTCAGTCTGTTAATAGTCTCTTCATTTCTTCCATTATACCAACAAACATATACACAAAAAAACAAAAAAGAAAATACCAATATACCATTCAGGTATGATCTTCGATGTCTCTGTGCTTCACACCCATGGGATTCAGTGCGCACGCGCTGGATCGATCGGTGCTGTAGCAAGCTCTTTTAACGGATTTTTGCGCCCAGTCCCTCAGGCATGCGCAGGAACCCCACCGCGCATGCCCAGAGGGGTGGGCACAGACATCCCACCAGTTCCTTTCTTACCGCAGCGTTGAGTAGACCTCTTTTTCGTCGGTCAGATCGGTTCGCTTGTGGCTCTTCACCTCAGCTCTTCAGAATTATTTCCTCACTCTATTTTTCTTTTTTAGTTGTTCTTCAAAAAAGCTTTAAGAAATTTATTTTTTCATGAGGGGGAGTCTACCGATTACCTCAGGCCTTCGGGCTACCCCCCCCCCCAATGTTCCCTCTTCTTCGCTTCTTTTATTGAGAAGAAGTGGGACTTTTTCAACAGGTGCAGAGGTTGCGGCAGCAAACTTGCTCGTCCCGACCGTCATACCCTCTGCATTTTTTGCCTTGGACAGTCTCACCAGCCAGAGTCCTGTCGTCACTGTGCTCGTTTCTCCAATCAAACACAAAAAAACTGTGCTGCGCGCCTTAAAGTGGCGCTGCTTGAATCGGCCCTTACTCCTGCCTCAGTGATGAAGGAGAGACCATCTACATCGACAGCTCTGACATCGAGGCCTGCCTCCAATGTCGACCGCCCAACACTGAAGCTCCCGACATTGAAGGCGCAATCTTCCACTTCCACGCCAGTCAAAACGAAGGCTAAGGCAAGTAAAGATCACAAGTCCGCGAAGAAGGGCACCTCCAAGTCCCTTAAGGCAGCAAAGAAGGGGAAGGAAGCGGTGTCTGCACTGGGTGATGCCCCTAAAGTGCCTCCCGCTCCAACGGCAGTATCGATATCGGAGGCCCAACTTCCTCCACCGATACCGACCATCCAACTATTGGATTCCCCCATCCAACAACTGGAGCGTCCTTACTCCGACATTGAAACTGTAGAGCTCCTAAGTCATCAAATGGATGCAGAGCTTTCTCTGTCTCCTTCCCCGTCGTTGACATCGACGGTATCGGAAGCTCCCGACATCAATCCACATCGGCACTGATATACTACATGCGATACGCAGCGTCACCCTCCACGTCTGCACAGTCAATCTGTCGATATCGACAACCGAGACTACAGGGACGGCTCTCACAGACAGGCTACTGCTTTGTCTCCAAGACGTCCACGGTCCAGAAGTCGATC